CTAAGCGCTGCGCGCGGATTAGACGCGCAGTTCCGCGGGATATGCGCACGCGACCGCGGGGATGTTGAAGTATATGAATCGCTGTCCGCAGTGGAGACGTGCGCCAAATTCGAGGCCCGGCGCACGTCTCCACAGCGGTCAGCGGATGGTCTGTAGTTTTAGAACATAATAAAAATGAAGCCTTTGTTGTAAAGAAGAAACTATGGGTTTCTTATACATAAGAGGCACAGTCGCGCACCGCCGTTGTCAAATTGAACATCGCCGTTGTGAAAAGGGCGTTTCCATGTGAAAGTGGACATGAACATAGGACAATAACATAATAATTTCAGGTAAAAACGATATGCTATGATTTTTGGAACACTCTAAACCTTAAAGAAATCTAACTATTTCGTTTTGTAAATCTGTAAACGCAAAAATGAATACATCTCATCACTACGCGCTTCTGCCATATTTAGAAGCCTGTTACCTGATATACCTGTTACATTCTGCTACATCCAGCTACACCCCTCTAAATCCACTATACCCCGCTACACCACTGATATACCTGCTACACCCCCGCTACACCTGCCACTCTCTGCTACATCCGCTACACCCTGCTTCACCCCGCTACATCCACTACAGCACGTTACACCCCACTACATCTACTACATCTTGCCACACCGCCTTGGTGAGGGTACACCGACAACAGCATAACAGATCAATATAGGTTTTCCTGCAGGATTTACGCTCGCCCGGCCCGCCCCGGGGGAACTCTCCGGTTTTCGGCGCGACCTGCCATCCGCAAATTAGCTTCAATTAACACCCGAGCTTAAGCGCGCATGCATACGCCATACCACTCCCACACATGCAAGGATCCGGGCAGGATCAGGAGATGAAACAGGAAGAAGGGGTCAAGGTAGGTCACGATACAGGAAGAAGGGGTCAAAGTAGGTCACGATATATGAAGTAGGGGGTCGAGATAGGTCACGATACAGGAAGGATGGGCCAAGGTATATCACTATACGGAACCCTCACCCTCTATCCACAACCTAGACTCCCCACCTTCTCTCACCCACGGACCTTCCTCCCAAGAATCACGCGCATCATCAGCACTTACAGGCAGGAGTCGACGAGCTGTGAGCCTGCAACCCTGCTGTCATTGTCGCTCTCTAGCGCGTCGTGGTACTGATGCTGCTGCTGCTGCGGATGTGGATGCTGCGGGCGGTAGTGCTGCTGAGAGTGCTGGTGCGGATCCGTGTGGTGGCGCCAGTGGTAGTGGTCATCTGCAGAACTGATACTCGACATGCTAGCTGTCTCACTGCCAAGCTTACACTGAAAGAAAGAGAAAGGTATAATAATAGAGATTAGAGATGCGTGGCATAGAGAGAAAGAGAGAGAAGAAGAGAGAGAGGAGAGAGAGAGAAGAGAGACGAGAGAGAGAGCAGAGACGGGAGGGAGGGAGGGAGCGAGACGAGAAGAAGAGATGAGAGAGGAGAGAGAGAGCAGAGAGAAGAAGAGAGAGAGAGAGAGATAAGAGAGAGAGAGAGAGAGAGAAAGAGAGAGAACGAGACCACCTTGACCATGCGTACGGGAGAGCATTAAATATATGCACAGTGCAATGTGGAAATAAACAACAACAACAAAAACAACAGCAGCAACAACAACAACAACAACAACAACAACAACAACAACAACAACAACAACAATAACAACAACAGCAGCAGCAAGCAGCAACAACAATAACAACAACAACGACGACGACGATAGCAACAACAACAACAACAATAATGACAACAACAACGACAACGACAACAACAACAACAGCAACAATAACAACGACAATGACAACGACAACAACGCAGCCACGCGCGGCGTCTTACAAACTTCTCCCGATCGATCGATGTCTCACGTCAGATTCTCGCTTGCAAATTCTAAATAAATCTCATGCAACATTTAGCAGCATTCTAACCTTAATATTGAGTGCATCGTGTGTAAGGATCGCTGCTGCATATATACATGCAGACAGGCCAGCAGCTTCTAAACACACATAACCGAATTAGCGATGAGAAAATCGGCGTAATATGCTCGCCGATGGCGCCATCTGTCGGGGAGAATCGACGGAGGAGGGACGGGTTGAAGGGGGGGGGGATCGGTGAATAACAAATCACTTGGCCGTATCGATTCAATCATACGTACAGTTAGAGTTACAACGACAGCCACTTGACATGCAATCGATTTACCGTCTGTGTGCGCGTGTGTGCGTGTATGTACGTGTGTGAGTATGCGTGCGTGCGTGTGTGCGCATGTGTGAGTGAGTGCGTGCGTGTACGTGTTTGTGTGCACGCGCTGTTTATTCGCATGCACGTTTGTGTGCGCGAGTGCGTGCGCATGTGCGCGTGCACTCGCGTGTACGTTTGTGTGCGTGTGCGCGTGCGCATGTACCGTACGTGTACGTGCGTATGTGTGTGAGTGCGTGTACGTGTTTGTGTGCGCGCGTGTGTATTCGCAAGTACGATTGTGCGTGCGCGCACGCGTGTGCGTGTGTGTGCGTGCGCGTGTACGTGCGCATGTACGTGCGTGTGAGCATGTTTGCGTACGTATGTATAAACAGGGAGCGACTGCTTCTTGCATTATTACCATCACGTGGTATCGATTAACAGAGTAGAAATCAATCGGTGAGGTCGCCGCACTGCCCACAACATCGATGACGCCGCATCGAGGTCACGCAAAGGTCACGAGCATCCTCACATGCAAACCTCGTAAGTGGTGTGTGCTAGCCACGTATAGTAGACATGATAGCCATGCGCCACACGTATACCGTACGGATGCACAAACGCACACACACGCACGCACGCACGCACGCACGCACGCACAAACCGAGGAATGTAACGATCGATCGATTATCAATAATTTATCATTGATTAAACAACGCAAAACATTTCAACTGTGAGCATAACTCCTGTCACAGACATGCAGACGAACTTTGATTAGCGATGTGCAAACATACACTCACAAGCCACACGCCGAGTACAAAGAACATTTACAGAAACAAACATCATAAAAAAACAGAGCACATAAATTGCATATATATTAAACTACGTGAGCGCACATAAATTATATTTATATTATCTGCTCTTTATCATATATATATATATATATATATATATAATACACACGTATATATATACACCTATACATGCACACACACACATATATATATATATATATATATGTATATTATTGCTTACATATATAATTATATATTGCTTACGACATGGGTGCACACACACACACATAATATATTATTGCTTACATATATATTGCTTTGCCGACAAGTTCACTGGTAGATAGTCGCTCCTCAGAAACGCAGCATAAAGATGACATTCAGACACACGATTTGTAATTAATTCACGACAGGTGAACCCGGAACTATATATAACACATGGATATGGCACACAGGTACGGCATATAGGTACCGTATGCCAGATAGGTATGGTATATAGGTACAACCGACATATAGGATACGATATATAGATACAACACATAAGTACGGTACATAGGTACGGCATATAGGTACCGTATGCTAGATAGGTATGGTACAACATTTATGAGATAGGTACAACATATAGATACGATATATAGATACAACACATAGGTACGGTACATAGGGCGTACCGTAATATTAGGTTAGGGCGCGGTACAGTAGGTACGGTACATAGGTACGGCAGACGGGCAAGGGAAAGAGGAAGTATTGTCTGTTTCTTTCTCCCCCTATACTAGTATAATGTGGCTGTTCTGTGTGGTGCCTCTTTTGCTGCACTCGCTCTCTCTCACACCACAAACGCACGCACAGCGGCGACAGCGCACACAGCATGCACGCATGGCCGACGCACACGACGCACTTTTTTTTTCCTCTCCTCTAGTCTTTCTCTGTCCTTGGTGTGTCGGATTGTCTCTCATTCATGGGAATTCACTGTTTTCCGATCTCGGCTGTTCCCGGCCGATTCTCTAAATTTCGGCCAGATCAGTATCTCTGCTTCGTATTCTCAAGAGAAGCGATGAACAGGAGGGGGGGGGGGTTGACAAATAATCCGACACTTCGTCTGCACAGCAGTTCACGAAAATAACTCTGATACAGCATTTATTATTAACGAACTTCAATTACACTTCAATTATTCAAGAACGCAGCGACAGATATCACACAGAACGAAAGCAATGGCGGTAGAGATGATGGAAGGGGAAGAGGATAGCGGAGGTTTTTTTCCCTCACCTCCTCCTCCCCCCCTCTCTCTCTCTCTCTTTGCTCTCGTCTGCTCGCGTCCTCTCGTCGTCTCGTCTCTATTTCTCTCGTCTCTCTCTCTGCTCTCGCCCCTCTCGGTCTGCCTCTCTATTTCTCTTCGCTTTCTCTCTCTCTCTCTGCAGACTGATATTAGGTAGGAGCTCTCTCCTCTCTCTCCGACTGCTGAATTCTCGGTTTCTGGTTGCTCTCTGCTCTCATGCTCTCTCTCTTTCTCTCTCTTGTGCTGTCTCTCTCTACGCTCTATCTCCCTCCCTTATATACACTCACACATGATAAGCACTTCCAGGCGAGGAATGGCATTACATAATATAAAGCACTTACGTTGCCTTCAAAAAACTTCAGATTATTTAAATTTACCGGTAATTGCGTATCAATATTTAAATTTCCCCAATTAAAGGGATAAAAAACGTCCTCCTATCTTTCTCTTTCTAGCACGCAGCGGGAATCTGGATAAATGAATTAGGATTTTTTTTCATCCTCGTGTCGGCTACAGTATATCTGCTGCTGACGTCACCAGGCTGGTATCTGCGACAGGGAAGCCATGAACGGCTTCAGTAGATAGCATCCTACATCCTAGATCCCGCATCCCGCGAAAATGACAACCGCATGTTTCCCCCGCATACTTCCCCGCGCCACCTCCCTCTCCTCCTCACCCCCACCCCCAGCCCAACACGCAGACACGCGAGAAATTATTTGAACGACTGAAAACGATGAAAGTATATTTAAATATTTGATGTCGTGATCGCGCTGGTCTGCTGAGTGCGTTCACTCGCGTGGATTGCTCGCGCGCGCGGGCCACCAGCGACAGCGACAATGTGAACGAAGGCAGACACAGGGAGGCAGGGAGGGGCACAGGGGGGGGGCACGGAGGGCACAGGGGGAGGCAGGGAGGGCACAGGGGGGAGGGGGCAGGGATGGCACAGGGGGAGGGCAGGGGAGGCAGCCGGGGAGGGGCAGGGAGGACACAGGGGGGAGGCAGGGAGGCACAGGGGGAGGGGCAGGAGGCACAGGAGGGACGGCGAGGAGGCAGCAGGGGAGGGGCAAGGGAGGCGACAGGGAGGGGGCAGGGAGGGACAGGGGAAGGGCAGGAGAGCACAGGGGAGGGCAGGGAGCACAGGGGAGGAGGCAGGGAGGGCACAGGGGGAGGGGGCAGGGGGGCTGGCATGCAAATTTAGCTCAGCAGCTCACACCGGGCAGCGCGGGGCGCTTCACGCAGCTAGGCAATGACACGTCAGCCAATTATGCCGTAACCTAAGACGGCGATTAAAAACGGGATGCTCTCTCTGGGCGATCGCGAGCAGGGTAATTACAGCTGCTGCCAAACAAGTTAAAATTAGCGTTT